TCTCTTTTTTGAATTTGGGCTTGGGTTGCACAACACCCCCAACTTAAATTGACCTTCACAGCCCATTTCTGGCATTCTTTTTTTTTTTTTATTTTTGAGGGTGGTGTCGTACTGCAAGGCGGGACAAAAAAACCCATCTGCATTCTTAAAAATGCTTAACTAGACTGTAGCGTCGTAACAGCCGCACAACAGGACGGGAATAGCTAACAGATTCCGATGATTTTTGGACGGGGGTGGGGACAAACCCCCCCAAATGTTTTCTGCAGGGACAGTCCTTTCTTAAGCGATGCCGCACAGATCCCCTTTTCCTGCAGGCAGCTTGGTGGGCGGCGACTCTCGTTCAGGGAGCCTTCTCTTGTGAGTCATATCTCCCTGGTGACTTGTGGTGGGAGCCGCACGGGGGCAGGCGAGGCTGCGCGCACTCGCGTCCGCCTCACAGGCCCCAGAGGACCAGTTAGAAGAGGAAGAGGAGGGCTTTGGGTGTGGACTGAGGAGGGCTGTGTGTTGCCCTTGCAGGGTTTTAAGCAGAGGAGGGACATGATCTGTGTTTTAAAAGGATCCCTAATGTGAACCCCACAGTTTTCACATTTGCCAGCCCCACGCACGCACGGTGGCTTCTGGGCTCTTGAGTTTGGATCTCTTGGGGGACACAGGCACACGTCTCACTTTGGGCATTTCCCTCCCTTCAACAAAGGAATAAAATGAAAGGCTCGGAGCCACGAGCGACAGGAGTCTCACGGCTAAAATCTGGTCCCAGCAGCTGAATGTCTGAGCGCTGCAGCTAGCCTAGATGTTTCTTTGGATTTCTTCTAAGAAACAAAACCCTCTCCAGAACTGCTCTGCGGTTCACCTTTCAAGTTCCCCAACCCCTGAGACTTTGCCTCGGGCAGAGTTTGAAGTTAGCTGTTTGATCACTCACTCGTTCCTCTGTCAGCCCCTAGCCTAAAAAAAAAAAAAGCAAAGGCTCTGGATGCAGAGACAGTTGCTCTCCCAGCTTTCTAAGTCTTTGCAGGAAGCCAGCTTTGCCAGAGCTCCCTCAGGCTGAGACCAAGGACACAAAGGAGGTCGCTGGGGTCCAGCACACATGAAAGAGGGTCAGGATGGAAGGGTCACTGCACCCCAGTTCCCAGAATTTACTCCTCCAAACCCTGCCTGGAACTGGCTTCCAAGAGAAAGTCAGAAAGCGGAGAGGACCTCATGCCTGTTCCCACTCCGGCTGGGTTTGAGTCGGGGTCAGGCCTGTTTCAAGCCCCCTCCCCCGCGCGTCTGTTTTCCTGATCTCGGAGAAAGAAGAAAAGGAACCCTTCTCCTTACAGCCCCTGTAAGGCTGGTAGCAGGCCCCGCTCCCCTTTCTAGATCAAAAAGAAAAGGCTCAGGAGACCAGACCCGCCAAGGACAAACTGCGAGGCCCCGCTGAGAAGAACCACACCCAGAGGTCCACCCGGATAAGAAAGTTTTGGCTCCTGGATTCCACAAATACCACCAGCCCCTCTTATTTCTCAATGACCACCAAAGGTCGCCCCAACTCTTCCTGCCAAAAGTCCTTAGCCAGGCCCAAACAGTGTAAAAAGGCCTCACCTCCTTCAAATGGATGTGACTTCTGGGCCCCCCCCCCCTGTTGGGACCCTAGAACCTCACTCAGGAGTGCTACATAAAGACACATGGTTTGGTCCTACTTTTTCTCTCTCTGTCTCTTTCTTTCACCACCGAAAAGCTTTACATTTGGTGCCGAAACCCGGGATGTTTGGCACCACTTTCTCTCTCTCTGTCTTTTCTTTTCCCCATTGGTGAAAAACCTTACAGCCCCAGAGGCACAGACTTTGATAACATCCACAACACGGAAGTGGCTCCGGGAAAGGAGCTGTAGGTGCCTGTTAGGTGTGGAGTTTCCTGACTGAATTCTGGAAGGTGCCCACCTCAGTCTTCCCACCTGTCAAGTGGGGGAGATCCCATCTGCCTTACTGATGGTGCAAGAAACCTGGTTGGGACGAAAAAGGAAACAGTGGGAAAGGGTCTGTAAAGGGCTGGTCCACAGCAATTTTCTTCTGAGGACGGCTGGGGTTGAGCTCCTGGCTGTCATGCAGTGCTCCTACTCCGTGCACATGCTCCTGACTGCGCACCCCGGCGGCTATGTGGGTGTGCTCACAACAGATGGCAGACACACGCGCACATCCCTGTGCTGCAGGCTCTGGAGAGCAGTTGGAAAAGCTTTGAAGGAACACCAAGAATAAGGGAGGGAAAAACCAAACCTACAGCAGCATCATCCCAGCCTCTGTCTGAGCCTCGGCGACATGGCTAAGAGGGTGGGGTAGAACATCTGCTCTCAGCCAGCTCTGGGCATTTTGTGGTTAGAAAACCAGCGCACAACCAACAGGGCCTGCTCCAGCTGCTCTTTCGGCTGCCGACCTCCCTCTTGCCAGATTGCTCCAGTAGGCATCATGGCCTTGCTTTCGTATGTGTGGGGGAGTGACGCCAGTTTTGAACACTTGGTCCCGTGTGTGGGGATGCACGGAGTGCCATCCTGCCTCCGAGAAGGGGACATCACAACGTTACAACTCATTCTCCACTTGCAGTCGCCATTTAATGTAAGACCCACTTTGGCAGCTTGCTAATCACACAAATCCTTCTGATTACTAATTTTCATCTAACCTTATAGTTTGGAGATCTTGAACATTAGAATTACCGTCTTCCTGTGCCAGAAAATCCATAATCGTTTTTTTCAAACTAAGAACAAAAGATCATTTGCTCATGAGTTCTGGCTCCACATGGCCCTAGGAACTGTGGGTCTCTGCCACCTGACCTCTCCGGGCACAGCGGGTCGGCTTCCAGAGACGCACCTCTGGCCAGCCTGTGTGCACTCAGCGCCGGACTGGATGCCTGATACTGCACCCACCAGCGTTGGTACGTTAAAGGCTTCCCTAGGTCTGCCACAGACTGCAGGCTCCGTCCCCTCTAGCTGGAACTGCGCAGAACTGCGGTTTAGACTGGGACAGGCCTGGGAAGAAGATTTTGCTTCTGTTCCATTTCTGCCAGACAAGTTTTGTCATGCTAATTAAGTCATTCATCCCACCCAGCTACAATGGCCATATATTATTTAGCTAACTGTATTATTATCAACAATGCAATAACAACAGCAGTAACATCTCATTTAGGAGCACTCCTAGTACCACACTCTTATATCCAAAGTCTAATCTCCATGACCATGTGAATCGGTCAGTTATTGCCTTATTTTATAATAAGGACTGTGAGCTAAAAATTAAACACCTCGTCCAGGTCACCCGAATACTCAGTTTGTAGAATCACAACTAAAAGTTCAATTTTGTCCACCACACTGTTTGAATCAGATTCTTTGTTCATTCAGCCATTTTACGGCCCTATATAGTATACACTGTCTACGATCCTTATGCTCTAGTTGGGGAGGCAGGAACGAGAACTAAGAAGCAAAAAATACAGATTACCAAGAAATGAGTAAATATGTAGCATTTAGATGGGAAACTGGGAAAAACTTATCGTGGGGGAGCAGAAAAAGTAGGAGAGACAGGGCTTGTGGAGTTGGGGTGGGGCTATTTTTAAATGGCTGATTTGATTTTCTTAAAGGAAGCGTTACATGAGCTAAGATTGAAGCAGCAAGGGAGGAGGAGTCACGTGGCTGCAGGGATAGCACTTCGTAGGCAGAGGACAGCAAGGTGCGACCTGGTAAGAGCTGGGCGTGCGAGGAGACTGTGCAGCCCAGTGCAGTGGGGAGGATGGGAGAAGGGCTGTGTTGGGTCGGCCGACGCGTGTAGGCGCTGGGTAGCAGTGTGGACGGTTTCGGTTTGTGTCTGAGTGGCATGGACAACACTCTTATTTTTTATTGTGCTCTGTAGTAATCTAATCTATAGTGTTCTATTTCTCTCTCTCTCTTTTTTAATGCTGGTCACAACCCACTAAATTGACTTCACAACCCATCTGCTTTTTTTTTTTTTTTTTTTTGAGTGTGTCGTACTGCAAGGCGGACAACCCATCTGCATTCTGAAAATGCTTAACTAGACTGTAGTCGTAACAGCCACAACAGGAGAATAGGCTAACAGATCATGATTTTTGAACAGGGGGTGGAGACAAACCCCCAAATGTTTTCTGCAGACAGTCCTTTCTTAAGCATGCCCACAGATTCCCCTTTTCCTGCAGGCAGCTTGTGGGGGCGACTCTTTCATAAGCGAGCCTTCTCTTGCCATATCTCCCTCTGACTTGTGTGGACCGCTCGGGCCAGGAGCCTGTCTCTGCATTGCGTCCCCTCACAGGCCCAGAGGAGCCCATTAGAGGAGGAGCTTGGTGACTGAGGAGGCTGTGGGCGGTGCCCTGGTGCACCTCCCACTTTGTCTCTGCTGGGGTTGTGTTGTGCTAACGCGGGTGGGGGGAGGCAAACAGTGGAGCAGGGGCCCACCTGCCAAAGGCCTTCCCGATGGCCGAGGGCCGGGCCTCGTAGTAGTATTGCTTGTACTCGTCCATCCACACCTCTGCAGTGCGCTTGGTATTCCTACAAGGAGAGGAAAGAGCTAGGTAAGGTCACCAGGGAGACAACACTGCCAGGATGCGGATGGGTTCTGTGCAATGAGACTCTCAGCAGCAAGGTGGTACTGACTGGGGTGCATAAATGAGCACAGTCTCTTTGGAGGACAATCTGTCAATATCTCGCAACTTCGTGGACATGCACAGTATACTCGATGACTTTCCCATTCTATTTCAGTAGAATCTATTCTACTGAAATACTTGCATGTGGGCAAAAAAGACATGACAAGAATATTTGTCTAACAAACCATTGGCGACAACCTAAATGCCCATCAATAGGAGAATAATTACCTACTTCCACATGATGGAGCACAAGATGCCTTGAAAAAGAATGCCATAGTTCATATGTATTGACAACTGAAGGGTGTCTATAATTTAGTGTTCAGTGACTGAAAAGCATGCTGCTGAAAAAACATGCATTTATATAAAAGCACAAACACAAACCCATGGTGTGTGTGTCTTTTTCCTATAAATAAACTTTATATATGAAAATGCATTTAAAGGCCTGAATTGATAGACCAGCAATCTATTAACTGGAGTTACTTCTGAGAGACAAGTGGAATACACAGAAGTAAGAATGAGGGGAAAGGATTTTCACTTTTTTTCTGTATAATAATGTAAGAGGCTGGCGCAATGGCTCACGCCTGTAATCCCAGCACTTGGGAGGCCAAGGTGGGAGAATTGCTTGAGCCCAGGAGTTTGAGACCAGCCTTGGCAACATAGCAAGACCTCATCTCTACAAAAATTAGCCAGGCGTAGTGGTGTGCGCCTGTAGTCCTAGCTACTCGGGAGGCTGAGGCAGGAGGATAGCTGGAGCCCAGGAGTTGGAGGCTGTAATGAGCTATAACCACACCACTGCACTCTAGCCTAGACAACAGAGTTGGACCCTGTCTCAAAAAAAAAAAAAAGGTAAAGAGTAAATATATAATATTAATGTCTATATATATAATTTATATTGGTACTGCTTGAATTTTTACAGTGGTCATATATGACTTTTCTAATTATAAAAACAATAAAAATGGGTGGGAGGAAGCAAAACAAAACTCTAGGCCGTTCTGTTAGCTAGACTGCACAAATGAGCACAGGCTTGGCCGTGTGAAGAGCCATTCTGGGAGGAGGGGATGCTCACGACAACACCCCCCACCCACCAGGAGAGCAGGTCATGGCTGGCTGAGGCCAAGTGCACCCTGTATCTGGGGCCATGGATGGACAGGTGCTTGACCAAGTCAGGACGCTGAAACCCATGACAAGCACTTGGCTCAGTGAGGGGAGGATAGTGCTTAGTTGGTCATTTGGCCAATTTTCCAAGACTCTCAAGGACAAAGGGAGTCAAGGCAAGAGAGACCTGGTGGCAATTCCTGCAACTTCATCCTTCTATTTCTGAAAGTACCTGGAATCCCAGAATGTAAGACCTGGGAGAAGGCATATGGAGAAACTGAGGCCCAAGAAATGGGGTGGCTGCCCAAAGTCACATGGTGCATAACTGGCAGGGCTGGGGTCTAGAGCCTTGGCATCCTGCTCCTTGTCACGGTGACCTACCTGATGTAGGTGAGGGCATTGCCCTCAGGAAAGTTGTAGGGGTGCCGCTTCCTGAAGACGTGGCCCACCCGGCTGCAGGGGACGATCTCCAGACTGCCACCACACATCCACACCCTGAAGGAGAGCTCTGTGGGAGACGGCACTGTCAGGAGCAGGAAGGGGGCCCTTGGCCAGTCCCCACTGAGCGAGGGTGGGAAGGGGCTGGCTTCCCTTCCCACTGGTGTCGTTCTGGAGGCACGTGCTGGGGTTGGAGCTCCTGGGCCTGTTCAAATGGGGTGCTCCTACTCCTCGCACATGCTCCTGACTGCGCACCCCACGCGGCTATGTGGGTGTGCTCGCACACACATGCGCAGACACACGTGCACACTCCCTGTGGCTGAGGCCTGGGAGAGCAGTGGAAACAGCTTTGAAGGAACACCAAGAACATAAGGAGAAGGAAAACCAAACCAACAGCAGCATCATCCCCAGCCTCTGTCTAGAAAGCCTCGGCCAGACATGAGCTAAGAAAGAACACATCTGCTCATCAGCCAGCTCTGGGCATTTGTGAGGTTAGAAAACCAGCCGCCAACCAAACCACAGGCTGCTCCAGCTGGCATCTTTTCGGCTGCCCGACCTCCCTCTTGCCCAGTTGGTCTCCATGTATAGGCTATCACTGGCCCTTCTTTCGATGGTGTTGGTGGAGCTGAGCCAGCTTTTGCAGACAACTATGGTCCCAGTAGTCGGGAGATGCACGAAGTGCCATCCTGCTCCCAGAAGGGGACATCACAAGTTACCACTCAGTTCTCCACTTGCCAGTCGCCATTTATGGTAAGGACCCACTTTGGCAGCTTGCTAAATCACACAATAATCTCTCTGATTTCCTAATTTCTTTCATATAAAACCTAATAGTTGGAGACTCTGCAACATTAGAATACCTCCTTCCTGTGCCAGAAAATCCATAACTCCTGTTTTTTTCAAACTAAAACAAAAGATCATTTTCTCATGAGTTCTGGCTCCACAATTGGCCCTAAGGACACTTGTGGTCTCTAGCCAGCCGTGGAGCTCTCTCCGGGCACAGCGGGTCAGGGCTCTCCCAGAGACGCCCACCTCTGGCCAGCCTGTGTGCACTCAGCGCCAGGACTGGATGCCTGGCATACCTGCACCCACACACAGCGTTGGCTACATTAATAGGCTTCCCTAAGTCTGCCCACAGACTGCCAGGCATCCGTCCCCTCTAGCTGGAACTCCGCAGCAACTGAGGTTTAGAACTGGGGACAGGCCTGGGGCACAGAAGATTTGCATTCTGGTTCCATTTCTGCCAGACCAAGTTTGTCATGCTAATTAAGTCACTTCATCCCACCCAGCCTACAATGTCCATACTATTATTAGCTACTGTTATTATTATCAACAATGGCAATAACAACAGCAGTAACCATCATCCATTTACTGAGCACTCACTATGTACCACACTCTTTATATCCAAAGTCTAATTCTCCCTGCAACCATGTGAAATCGGTATTATTGCCCTTATGTTTTTAAATAAGGACTGTGAAGCTCAAAAAGTTAAACAACCTCTCCCAGGTCACCCGAAATACTCAGTTGTGAGAATCGACAACATAAAAGTTCACATTTTTCCACCCACACTGTTTGAATTCAGATTCTTTGGTTATTCAGCAAATTTTTACGGAGACCTATTATATGTCATACACTGCTCTAGATTCCCTTATGCTCTAGTTGGGGAGGCAGAACCGAGGAAACTAAGAAGCAAAAATACAAGATTATAAAGAAAATGAGTAAAATATGTAGCATATCAGATGGTGATAAATGGAGAAAAATTAAGTGGGGAGCAGAAAAATTAAGTGGGGAGCAGAACAGGGCTCGTGGAGTTGGGGTGGGGCTACATTTTTAATAGGCTGATTGGGAACTTTTCACTGAAAAAAGGTAACATTTGAGCTAAGATCTTGAAGCAGGCGAGGGAGGGAGTCCGTGGCTGTCAGGGAAAGCATCTAGGCAGAGGACCAGCAAGGGTGCGGACCTGGGGGTAAGAGCTGGCTGCAGTGCAGGAGACTGTGCAGCCCCAGTGCAGTGGGGGAGGATGGGAGAAGGGGCTGTGGTTGGGGGTCAGGGCCGACGGTGTAGGGCCTGGTAGCCAGTGTGAGGGTTTGGGTTTTGCTCTGAGTGGCATGGGAACCCTTGCAGGGTTTTAAGCAGAGGAGGGACATGATCTGTGTTTTAAAAGGATCCCTAATGTGAACCCCACAGTTTTCACATTTGCCAGCCCAGCACGCACGGTGGTCTTCTGGGCTCTTGAGTTTGGATCTCTTGGGGACACAGGCACACGTCTCACTTTGGGCATTTCCCTCCCTTCAACAAAGGAATAAAAATGAAAGGCTCGGAGCCACGAGCGACAGGAGTCTCACGGCTAAAATCTGGTCCCAGCAGCTGAATGTCTGAGCGCTGCAGCTAGCCTAGATGTTTCTTTGGATTTCTTCTAAGAAACAAACCCTCTCCAGAACTGCTCTGCGGTTCACCTTTCAAGTTCCCAACCCCTGAGATTTGCCTCGGGCGAGTTTGAAGTTAGCTGTTTGAATCACTCACCGTCGTTCCTCTGTCAGCCCTAGCCTAAAAAAAAAAAAGCAAAGGCTCTGGATGCAGAGACAGTTGGCTCTCCAGCTTTCTAAGTCTTTGCAGGAAGCCAGCTTTGCCAGAGCTCCCTCAGGCCGAGACCAAGGACCACAAAGGAGGTCGCTGGGTCCAGCACACATGAAAGAGGGTCAGGATGGAAGGGTCACTGCACCCCAGTCCCAGAATTTACTCCTCCCAAACCCTGCCTGGAACTGGCTTCCAGAGAAAGCAGAAAGCGGAGAGACCTCATGCCTGTTCCCACTCCGCTGGGTTTGAGTCGGGGTCAGGTGTTTCAAGCCCCCTCCCCCCGCGTCTGTTTTCCTGATCTCCGGAGAAAGAAAAGGAACCCTTCTCCTTACAGCCCCTGTAAGGTGGTGGCAGGCGCTCCCCTTTCTAGATCAAAAAGAAAAGGCTCACGAGACCAGACCCGCCAAGGACAAACTGAGAGGCCCCGCTGAGAAGAACACACCCAGAGTCCACCCGGATAAAAAGTTTTGGCTCCTGGATTCACAAATACCACCAGCCCCTCTTATTTCTCAATGACCACCAAAGTCGCCCCAAACTCTTCCTGCCAAAAGTCCTTAGCCAGGCCCAACAGTGTAAAAAGGCCTCACCCCTTCAAATGGATGTGACTTCTGGGCACCCGCCCCTGTTGGGACCCTAGAACCTCACTCAGGAGTGCTACATAAAGACACATGGTTTGGTCCTACTTTTTCTCTCTCTGTCTCTTTCTTTCACCACCGAAAAGCACTTTGGGTGCGAACCCGGGATGTTTGGCACCCTTTCTCTCTCTCTGTCTTTTCTTTTCCCCACTGGCGAAAAACCTTATAGCCCCAGAGGCACAGACTTTGATAACATCCACAACACGGAAGTGGCTCCGGGAAAGGAGCTGTAGGTGCCTGTTAGGTGTGGAGTTTCCTGACTGAATTCCGGAAGGTGCCCACCTCAGTCTTCCCACCTGTCAAGTGGGGGAGATCCCATCTGCCTTACTGATGGTGCAAGAAACCTGGTTGGGACGAAAAAGGAAACAGTGGGAAAGGGTCTGTAAAGGGCTGGTCCACAGCAAACGCGAGAACCTGCTCAGGCTCCCGAGATAGCTGTCACCCATCCCACCCCGCTCTGTTTGGGAGGCCGCCCATGTGGGCTGCACCACTGGGCCCCCTTCCCTCAGCCAGCAGGAGAAACCAGCAGTGGGTGGCAGGATGGGGGACAGAGTAGGGGGTGGTGTTTAGCCCCCTGACACTCTCCATCTGGGCGCCGTGGTGACTACAGCTCCCAGCAGTCACAGCCCTGCTCAGTACCACCCTGTCCTTGTGGTTTCCTGTATCTTGCCCACACCTTGTAAATAGGCCCTTTAATAGATACCCACATTGGGGGCTGTACCCGGCCAGAACCCTGACTGATACAGGCTTTATCTAACCTCAGTTTCACCAGCAACCCGGGAGAGAGGGCCCTCCACTTCCTGTTTTGCAAATGAAGAAACTGAGGTTCAAAAAGCTGACTGACTTCCCAGCTCACACATCCTGGAGTCCGGAGTGCCAGCTCTGACCCCACCAGGGGACCACGGTGCTCTGGGGCCCTAGTCCCGTGTGCCGAGAAGCCAGTGCGTGAGCCCCCCCACCACTGAAGCACTTTGCCCACCTCTGTCTCCTTCACCGCTGCTTCAGGGAGGGGAGGGGGCAGCTTCCCCTCTTCTCTGAGTCTAGAGGGTTCCTACGGCCATGCGGCATGCATTCATTTAGCACTCAGGGCGACCTCTCGAGGAAGCTGAGGCGTTGGGAGGCTTTAACTTGCCCAGGGCCAAACAGCTGAAAGGCGGTAGGGCTGGGGTTTGCACACAGACCACCTGGCCCCATTGCTCACGTTCACCCACCACCCTCCACCGCACACCTGCAGCACTTGTGGGAGGGGAGCAGCCATGCATTTGAGCTGTGGTCCGTGTTACAGCCTGCGTGTTCTTCCACAGTCACGTCTAGCTATGGGGCCACGGGCTCCCCGGAACAGCCAGACCTCTTTGTTGACTAACTGTGTGGCTCTGGACAAACTGCTTAACCTCTCTGTGCCTCAGGGTTTTTTTTTAAATCAGTAAAATGGAGATCACGGTGTGTACTACAGAGGGTCCTTGCGAGGATTAAATGACTCAACATGTGTAAAGTCCTTAGAACAGGCCCTCATGCATAGAAAGTGCTCGGTTGGGGTTAATTATTATTATTATTTCTATTGTTTTTACTGTTATCATTTCCCAACTCACCAAAATTCTCTCCCCCCCAGATGTCCATCTGGGCATCATACTTTCCCAAGTGGTTAAACCAGGACTTGTCAATCACGAAGATTCCTCCAGCAATGACAGGTGTCCTGGAATAAGGAGAGGGGGGAGGTGACATGTGAGCTGCAGAAGCTAGGAGCCCCTTTAGATGCCTCAGGACCCAAGGCCACTTGCCCCCACATTTCCTGCCTGTAGAGCCACAGGGTGGGGTATCTGGCCAGCTCCCTCCACAACTGATCCTGTGGCCTATGTCCTCTGTGTCCCGGCAGACAGGGTCCAAGGGCCAGAACAGAGTCGGCACTTAAACTCTGCACCCTCAGGAGTCCTGGCGACTGACACAGCCTCCCAAGAGCCTCCCAGGCCCCAGACCCAGGGAAGGAAGGGGTCTCCCCAGAGCCCACGGCAGCCCTGACCTTATGGGCCTGGTGGGGTCTGTCCGGGTCATCTTCTGCTCAAGGGGGATCTGCTCCCACTTGAAATGCAGGCTCCAGTCGAACCCTACAGGACAGAGCAGGGTGAGGACAGGGCTCAGGGCAGACCCCTCACTCCACCGCCCCTCAGCCTCCCCTGATCGGTACCCAGCTCGCACACGCCCTGAGCTTGTCATCTGAACGAGATGAGACCCTGCCCTCATGAAGTTTACAATCTACTGGCCAAAACAGATGACAAAGATAAATAAATAAGTGGATAATATGTCAGCTGGGAGTGAAAAGTGCTAAAAAAAGAAAACAAAGGAGGAGTGCCCATACTATTTCAGGAAGAATAGTCAGGAAGGGCTCTCTGAGGAGGTGACACTTGAGTAGAGACCTGAATGTAGGATGGATCCATGCAGATATCTGGGGGAAGTGAATTCCAGGCAGGGGCAGCAGCAAGTACAAAGGCCCTGGGGTGATTTCCCAAAGGGAAAATGCCTGGCTCCTTTCAGAATCCCAACAAACCCCAAGATCTAATTAATGGCTGGGTCAATTTATTGGGAGTCCAGACCCCCAAATAAGAAATCCTGTATCATTCTAGTTCTCAGCAACAGATACTCTAACAGTGGTCCCCAGCCTTTTTGGCACCAGGGACCATTTCCACGGAAGGCAATTTTTTCATAGACCAGGGAGAAGGGTTTCAGGATGAATCAAGTGCATTACATTTATTGTGCACTTTATTTCTACTATTATTACATTGTAATATATAATGAAATAATTATACAACTCACCATAGGTTGGGGACCCTTGCTCCCTAAGACATCACTGTCCAATAGAACTCTCTGCAGTGATGGAAATGTGCTCTGTCTGCATTGTCCAATATGGTAGCCACTAACCTCATGGGGCTATTGAGCACTTGAAATGTGGCTAGTGTGACAGACTGAATTTTAAATTTTATTTAATTTTGATTAATTTAAATAGCCAAATGTGGCTACTGTCTACTGTATTGAACAGCCCAGTACTAGAGTCTGGACCAGAGCAGTCCAAAAGAAATATAATGCAAGCCACATACGTAATTTAAAGTGTTCTAGTAGTCACATCAGAAAAAAAGAAATATATAAAATTAATATATAAAATATATAAAAAGAATATATAAAATTATTAATAATTTGAATAAAATGTTTTTAATGTAATATGTCCAAAACATATCATTTCAACAAGTAATCAATATAAAAATTACCAATGAGACATTTTATATTCTTTCACACTAAGTCCTGGAACCCTGTTTTGTTTTTGTTTTTGTTTTTGTTTTTGTTTTTTTTAAGAGACAGAGTCTCAATCTGTCACCCAGACTGGAGTGGGGTGGCACAATCATAACTCACTACAGCCTTGAACTCCTGGGCTCCAGCGATCCTCCCACTTCAACCTCCTAAGTAACTGAGACTGTAGGTGTGTGCCACCATGCCTGGCTAATTTTTATTATTTTTGTAGAGACAAGGTCTCACTGTGTTGCCCAGGCTGGTCTTGAACTCCTAGCCTCAAGCAATCCTCCTGCCTCAGCCTCCCAAAGTGTTGGAATTACATGTGTGAGCCACTGTGCCTGGCCCTGGTGTGTTTTTTATATTTACAGCACATCTCAATTCCAACCAGTCACTTCTCAAGAGTAGCCACATTCCAAGAGCTCAATAACCAAAGGTGCTAATAGTCACTGTACCACGTGGCACAGGTCTTAACCGCCTCTGGGGTGTACACGTTAGGAATTCATGCAAGGCCCAGGGATTCCCCCCTTCCCAAGACAGCTGTCACATCATGGCCTTGTGCCGGGACTTATAGTCATGGTCCCTGAACTGGCAGCATTTGGGAAGGATGTGTCAATGTTTAGGGGGAGGGAAAGATGAGAGACTAGCCTGGCTCTGCCTCTAACTGTGCCAGGAGCCTGCAACTGCCATCTCTGGTCCTTTGTCCCCAACCCCAGGGCTCCACCAAATCCCTCCTCATTTTCTCTTCAGTGGCAGGGGGACGTGAGACTCTCTGGCACAGCTGGGAAGAGCACCAAGCCAGGGCTTTGCCTGCCTTCACCTACCTCTTTTCAGGTCTAGAGCCCCTCCCCCAGGAGAAGGACCCACCTCCGCGAAGGTCAGCAGATGCTGCAAGGTAGGCAAAGTTATCCAGGCTGATGACATCAATGATGGGGCTCACCACGCGGGTGTGGTCCTAGGAGAGAGATGCGAGTGAGGCCAGGGACTCCTCTGCGGGAAAAGACCCAGCTGCCAGCTCTGGGAGGCTTCTCTGAGACACGGGGCACTCGGTGCTTCCTGCACCAAGTGCCCAGGGCCACCCCTGGGAGCTGTCCTGCATCACCACACCCAGGCTCCTGCAAGTTCCCTCATGGCTCCCACGTGCTCTTCCAGCCTCTTCTTGTACCTCATTTTGAGCCCTGCTGGGATCTCACCTCCTCAGTGAAGCCTTCCCTGACTGCTGTGGGCTGAAGGATTTCTTCCTTTTTTAAGCTGCTCCCACAATTACAGTCTAGACAACTCCCAGGACAGTGGCTCATGTGCGCCTGACGTGGCTCTTCTGTTGTTGGTTTGAACCGTTGCTTAAGGTCATTTGCCTTCGTATATGTTTGAGTTGAGTCTTCCCAACTGGACCACCTGCAGCTTGAGGGCAGGACGCTGTGGTCCCTGGGTAACCTGGCTGCCACTCCTCTCATACCACAACTGCCTCAAGTTCAGACTTGCCACTCCCTTCATCGCCTCCCAGAACACAGATCCAACTCCAAAATATTAGTGCATTATGCTGATTTTACTGAAGTGCTTTGGGGGTGGGAGGGGAGACGAGGTGGATTATGTCAGCATATACCACATGCAAAACTTAATCTCCCTTCCTGAGCCCTCTCTTGTCCTGCCCTCCATGGAGGGGCATGGAACAGGCCTCTTCTTTCTCCCTCCTCTTCCTCCAATCTGCGTTCACCCCCACAGTCCTCCTGTCTGCAACTTGGAATCCAGCTCTGCCCTCGGTTCACATCCACCGTCTCAGGATAACGAAGCCTGGGAGGTGGCTGAGCAGGGGAGACCACCCATGGGTTGTCAGTGCTCCATGAGGGCCTCACCTCTTTCTCTTAATAAGCTTTTTTGTACTGAGGTATAATTCACATACCATAAAATTCACCATTCAAAAGTGTACAATTCATCAGGTAAATGCAAATCGAAACTGCAATGAGATATCACTTATCTCCAGTGAGAATGGCCTTTATCAAAAAGTCCCCAAACAATAAATGCTGGCGTGGATGCGGAGAGAGAGGAACACTCCTACACTGCTGGTGGGACTGCAAACTAGTTCAACGTCTGTGGAAAGCAATATGGAGATACCTTAAAGAGATACAAGTAGATCTACCATTTGATCCAGCAATTCCACTACTGGGCATCTACCCAAAAGATCAAAAGTCACTCTACGAAAAAGACATCTGCACTCAAATGTTTATAGCAGCACAATTCACAATTGCAAAGTTGTGGAAACAACCCAAGTGCCCATCAATACATGAG